AAGTTGCATTTTCATCAAAATAACAGCGAGAACTTAGTTGCGCACCTAATACTATTTTGATAATACAATATAATCTTAATATATGTAAACAGAACATGAATCTTTCTTACCGGTGATATGATACATTAGTATTTCTTTTTTGTTTACATTATTCTAATATTGGACGACTTGGTATGCGATTTTTATAGTATTTTATAATACACTGTGGTATTGTAAATAAGTACGTAATATATCAAGAGAGATATATAAGAATATATATTATTCAAGATGTGTATATCTCGAAATAATTATAAAATTTGATGTTTTCTCCGTTCACTCTTTTCTTTTTCTCATTCCCTTTATAAGTTTTAATTATTTCTAATCTGTACCGGATTACAGTATCATGACAATCAAAATAATAAGATGCTGCGTTTGCGCAAATTCTGCTTGATTTTAACCAATCGCCAATGCGGCACCAAACATACCACGTGATCATAGTTCCCTCCCCGCTAAATGGCTTCATCCTCCGCAGTTATTGTTCCGTCCCGTTATTCCTGTGTCCATGGTTTATGCAGTGGATAGCGCATCCACTGCTTCGTCATCTGCTAGTCACATGACCTAAATTGACCGAACGGACCTCTGCATGAATGACTGCTCGTATCGCATTGGTTCGTATCTACCAATAGAATTTTTGATGCTTATTACGCATCTTTAAATGATCTTAATAATGAATGACATTAAAATCTGTAAATAATTAATTCTTATTGCGAAAAATATTACCTCGGCTGGGAGTCGAACCCGGATCTCTGACCTTCCGTGCGAGTGTTCTAAGCTTTTAGACTACCGAGGCAATATATTTTCCATTATACATTATCTTATCTTGAATTATTTCTACTTCATTAGGATCTTAAACATTTTTTAACGATTAAACGATTTTAAACATTTATTTTTCACCCTTTTTATTTAAAGATATTTTAACAAAATTCATTTTGTTACAATCTAATACAACTGGCTATTAACTGGCGGTACCATGCAGCGCAGTTTGTCGTTCGTTTACTCCGAATCTACAATAGAGTTTTTAGTCTTAAGTCATAAGAAATGGATGAATCATAGTTGATTATTCTTCTCAAATTCGACTGTGATTGGTCAATTCCTTATTTAAGGCTTAAAACACCTATTGTAGATCCGGAGTTACGCAGTACTGCGAGCAGAGCATCCTGGGTATCGATCATGAAACTTTTTCCTTAGAGTTTAAAGGAACTTTCTTCTCTTTGTAACTCCCTTCATATTTCCTTCCTTGCTAGGGGCCTAACGATACCTCAGATTTTACCCAGATACATACATTACTGAGCAGCCATAGCGTTTGTTCAGTGCGCATGCGTCACTTTATTCCCACACTGCCCATCACTGGCTTTGTCCTGCGAACTTGGTTGGCTCAAAGAGTAACCAAGCACATGCGCATGAGGTCACAAAGCAAAGAAGTTACAAAATATTTACTAAAGTAAAATACGAAATACGCGTATATCACTTTTCCCTTTTAGGACCACTGTCACCAAGCTCAGTTAACTTAACTGACCAGTTAAGTCCATTCTACAATTGCGTAAGCGTAGTTGTAAGTGGTTGTAGTTGTAAGAATTGACTAATCACAGTCGAATATTCTCCTCATATTTGACTGTGATAGGTTAATTCTTACAACTACAACCACTTACAACTACGCTTACGCAATTGTAGAATGGGCTTTAAGTTAACTAAGCTTGGTGACCCTTAATCAAATTGGTTGATGGTTAAAAGTGAAAGATAAATATATTGTACGCATGTTAATTCCCTTTTAAAAACAATGTGGTTAGCACTGTTTTACTAGTGACTTTTGTTTCGCGTAACATTAAGTGATTGATTAAAATTTGTGTTAACACAAATTTTATATTTAAAATATAAAGAGGAAGTGAAAATAGTATATTATACATGTTAAATAAAGGTATTTTATAATGATTATTATAAATATTGTAAACTTTTTCACTTTTCACGATTTTATTCTAGAGGAAAAATTATGTGATTGTTAGGTAAAATCAAGTTTGCGTGAAAAGTTTCATGATTGACCCCCTGAGCAGGACTTCAATCAAGAAAACTAGAATTAAGGAGGATCAACTCGTGCCAATAGCGGTAGTGGGGGTGAGGCAAAAAGTGGCGACGGATAACTTCCCCCACTCTTGCGCTTCATTAGTCCTTTCTGTCGCTCTATATAGTTGTCGCTCTATAATCGTCACTTTGTCGCTCTTATATCGAACTTTCATACGATGCGCAGTGCCGCTGCACAGCGTGTGAATAGCCGCGGACGTTTTTTGACTCACCCCCACCACGCGAGTTGATCCTCCTTAGTTCTAGTCTTCTTGACTTCAATGTAGCTGCGCAGATGGTATAAATCCCTGCATAAACGAACATCAAACTGCACTGCAGTCATCTTCGCTGGTAGAATAAACGAACGACATCTGCAGCAGTAACTGCATAAACAAACGCAGCCAGAGTGTCAGAGGGCTGTAACATTTGACTCACTAATAGCGTTTTCGATTGGGAAAAAGTTAGTGCGCACTAGTGCGCACTCAGTTCACATCAATACTGGACGAGTTCCATGGGTTGCACTGAATAGTGCAAGTTCAAAAGAACACGCAAAGATTTTCAGTGCTAAAGCTGAAGTGTCATTTCGAGTTGTAAGAATGGCTGCGTTCAGCAGAACGTTCGTTTTGCAACTGTTGGAAGTTTCTTTCGAGCTGATTGGATCATACTTTTAGATCTAGAATAATGGTCCTATCTCAGCAGACAATCATAAAACGGTTGCAAAACTGTTGAGTCTGCTGAACGCAGCCATTGTAAGGACTTGACTAGACTGCAGAAAGAACGCAAAAAAATAACCTCGACATCTCATGTTCATAACTTTAAGTAATGATTTTTTACTATATGTAATTAAATAATATATAAGATATCAAGAATATTATATATGTACATACTTGCCAATAATTGTACACATTTGCATGCTATAAATTACAGATTTGCTTGTCCGTAATGTATATCCTTTTATACTGTGACAAAACGGTGCACTGATATCCTATATATGTATCCAGTGCACTGAACTGGCATCGTCAAAATATCTCGTGCCATTTAATGCGTACTGAGTGCGCACTACGCGAGTGTCGTGCGGTCAAATGAACACGTGACACTAGTCAAGTGCGCATTGGCACTGCCAATCGAACACGCTCTTGACACCGAGTGCAGCCAGTGCACCCCAAACGAAAACGATATAAGTTTCCACCGAGGGTTAGGGTGAAATCACACGGTGCGGAAAAAGACTGCGGAATAGAGAATGCGTCATTGAAGCAACCAATCAGCGCTATTCCGAA